CTTTATACATTATTTAGAATTATATGTTTTTTCCATTAATAAATATATTCTTTTCACATAGCACTTGTATACTAAGTTCTGTTTGGAGCTTGCTTAAGACGCGTATGAATTTGGTCCGAGTTCTCTTATAATCAGGATTGCTGCAGTGGTTACAGATAGAGATACTAAATAGTAGTAAAAAATTACCATTCTTTAACGATTAAACAATAGTATGGTAACTAGTTGAGCTAACTAGTCACTAAAAGGTTGATATGTTTTGCCGGTAAGAAAAGTATGTTTTTTTTTTACGGTATCTTTATCAGAGGCGCTCTTGTTAGCGAAAGCTTCGATTTGTACTGGATTAAATGTTATAGCATCTCTCATATTCGATAAGATGGAACTTTAATAAAGTTAAAAATGAAAGATGAATCTTTATATATGATCAAGAAACTTTTATTTAACGTTAACAACGTTAACGGGAATGACTGTTTTTATACATCATGATTCTCATTTATCAATTAACAATTTATGTACAGAGTTAATCGAAAATGGTGACCTATATAAAGGAGATTTTTACTAAATGTTTTTATTTTTCTAATGACTATTAAGCACTTCTATTTGAAGGTTTACTATTACAATTCGAATTTATAAAAACTTTCATTTTTATGCTATTTTTCACTTACTGCGCACATATTCGTACAACCATTAAACCTACTGTAACCGCATCACTTTATCAATACATTCTGCTTAGTCGCTAAATCCTCTTAAATTCTTAATTTGAAAATAAAAATAAAGTTTTTAATGGTTTATAGCATTGATTTAACAAATTTGATTTTTTAATTTTACACTATTGACTGAGAATGGTATATATTTAAATTTTTTGTTATTATCTCAAACGAAGTAGAAATCCTAATTTCCAAGCCTATGTCATACTTCCAAAAAAGGTTTGGATCGCATCCCTATTCGGAGGATTGGGCATCTGCGTTCGTCGTAGAAGACGAGTTTCCCTCTGTAGTACGTATTTCGGATACTGGAACTTCAGGTAGTACACTTATAACTTGCGTTAACATACTGATAGCGTTGTATATATGCCCTTGAGTATCCTGTAATATTCGTAGCCTTTCAACAAGTGCCTCCCGTGATGTTGTTTCTAGGAGACGGATTTGATCCTCTGACAAATGATTTAATGTATTAGTTCCCACATTTGAGGTACCATTATCCCTTAAAGGTAGAAGAGGGAATAGGGGTATTAAACCAGGTGGAAT